ATATAAATTTATAAAAAGTATATATATTTAATACAATTTTAATAGCTGCCGTATGCTTAAACAAACATTATAAGTCTATAAGTATCTCTTATCTTTTCCCTATATTTCCATGCTTAAGTTTCTTCTTCAACCTTATTTCGTTCCTTCTTCCTTTCTCTGCCGAACCGTCCCTGAACAAAGCTTACAGAGGCCTCTGCAATTCTCAGGCGACTAATTTCCGGTCATCATCCTATCATATAGAGCTGTTTTCGGATTAATTTCTTTATAAAAATTTTCAAGTACTTAAGAATTTCTGCATTTTTTACGCAACAGAGGGAAGAGAGAAGGCCTAGGTGAGCGGTTTCTGATTGAATTTTGAACCAAAAATGTGGAAGCTGAAGATTGGAGAGGGCGTAGACGGAACCTACCTCTACAGCACAAACAACTACGTAGGGAGACAGACGTGGGAATTCGATCCCGACGCCGGTACCCCTGAAGAAAGAGCCCAAGTGGAGGAAGCTCGCCAGAATTTCTACAGGAACCGCCGCCAGGTTAAGCCTTGCAGCGACCTCCTCTGGCGAATGCAGGTATTGCTTTATTCTTCAAGAAATTTAAAACTAGCGTATTAGTTCAGTCCAACAGTCGGGATGATGACGTTATATTCTATGAGTAAGAATCCTCAAATTCACTCCCTAACTAGGGTTGCCGGACCTACCGACTTGTTGGTTAGAAAGTGAAAGTTTAATTTTTTTTAAAATAAAGTACCTAATTTAAATATTATAAATGAAGAAAAATTGTTAGAAGGGTGTTTTTTTTTTTTTTAATGGTTAAAATTTTATTTTGGTCTTTCAACTGATGTATGCTCCGATTTGATTTTTAAACTAAAAAATTTCTTGATTTGGTCCCTATTGTTTACCATTTTGACATGATTTGGTTTTTTAGTTAAAAATCCCATTACGTGTGCTGTTAATTTACTGTTATGAGATAACATTGCAAAATATTAATACACGTGGCGAAAAAATTAAGACTTATTTTTTTTTTCTTTTTCCTTCTTTATCCTTTTCTTTTTACCCTTCCCCTTTAGAACCCATCGAACCCAGCAATCGTCGCTAGGTTCATTTGAACCCAGGCGTGGGGTTCCTTGGAACCCTGGCGCTGGGTTTGTTCGAACCCAGGCGTTGGATTCCTGAACGAACCCAAGCGCGGGGTTTGAAAAAAATTCCTTTTTTTTTTTTTGTGGGTTTTGTTGTTTGGTGATGAAAAAGAATTGATTGATGAAAAATGAAATTTCATTTTATTAAATTAATTGTTTGACTCAAAAAAATGGTGATAAAAGTTGTCTTGGAGGAGGCAAAGAGAGAGAAAAAGAAGGATGAACGAAGAAGATTCGAGAAAGAGGATGTTGGAGAAAGAAGATGACGGTAAAATTGTAATTTTGGTGGGTTACATGACATGAATATAACTTGTTATGTTGCCATGTCATTATTTTGATCTAACGTGTCTAAAATGTTTATCATGTCATTAACTCACTGTGAGTTAACGATGGATATTTAATGGAAGGACCAAATCGGGGTTAAAATGGTAAATAGTAAGGACCAAATTAGAGATTTTTTAGTTTAAGGACCAAATTAGGAGTCTATGCAATAGTTTAGAGACCAAAATGTGGTTTTAACTTTTTTTTTATTAATTTTGATACAATTTAAATTTTAATTAATTAAAATTTTATGCACTTATATTTTTAAGTTCCGTCAAGTTACGTTTAAAGTAAATTTTCTTTGCCTAGGCAACAATTTGAATCTTACCCTTGCAAATTTGATCATTTTACTGCTTGCATCACGCATGAATAAATCGTTAACAGTAGGTTGAGGTGGACTTTTTAAACACGTTGGAACCATTTTTATGACTTGGATGTTGACATGGCCCCATTCCAGCCATTTTAGTCTTATGTGGCAATTTCTTGCCTTTTTTCCTTCTCCGCGTCAGCAGGGCCCAATGATACCTCCAAAATATTTATTTCACTACATTGGACGAATTATGTAATGTGTTTAGCTTTTTATCTAGTTAAATTTAAAATTTTTAATATCGCATTTTATATTATAAAGTTTTTAGATTTTAAACTTAAAAATTTGAAAATTTTAACTCCTAAGTTAATAAAATTTGTTAATTTTTTGTTAAAGTGAAAATAAAATATTTATAGGATTAATTCTTAAAAATTAAAAATGTAATAATTAGTTTCAAAAGTTTAAAAATTAAAAAAATAACTAAACTAAAAAAAATTAATAAATGACTTTTCCACATATATTAGAATAATATTAGATATTTATAATAAATTGAGCAATTAACTTAAATTGAAGAAAGAATTCTAATTAAGATTAAAGAAAGAATTCTAACTAAAATAAAAGAAAATTTCTTAGTTGAGTTAAAATAGATTATTTGAAAGATTAAAAGAATACATTTAAGAAATTTTTTTTAATTTCAATTTGATTTCTTTCTTTAAATTGAGTTAATCACTTAATTTGATTATAGATATTTAATACTATTTTCGTGTATGTAACAAAGTCATTCACTAATTATTTTTAAAATTTTAAAATTTTAAAATTTTAAAACTAAATTATTATATTTTTAATCCTTGCAAAGTGATTATATAATTATTTTATTTTCACTTTAACGAACAATTAGAGGTGAGCATTGGGTACAAGTTTACATGTTATAAGTATTTTACCCATTTGGATATATATCTTAGCCGAACTATAAAAAAATTAGGTAAATAAAGGATATAAAAATAATATATCTACAAGTATCAAGTGAAGTAATAAATATAAGAGTTTAGAATTGTTTATCCAACTTGTTTAACTGTTTTATTTAACTGGCATATTATTTATACTTGCATAATTGAAATTTTATATAAACTTATTATATTTAATATCTATATAATAATAATAATTTTTTTAAAAAAATAAAAAAATAAAAAAATCACACATGTAACCTATAAATAACAAACTTTAAACCAAACACATATTACACATAGAGTCAACTTTTTTCCTTCTTTGCACTCTTAAGCCACAATCCGTAATTATAACTTCAAATTTTGATTTTTTTTTTTTTTACTTTTCTATTAGTGATTTTTGAATCCTAGTATATGTTTATTGTATAGATGACCTTTTAGTTTTAAAGTCCAAATTTAACATAATAAAAATAGTAAATCAAAAGTATAGATATCAAAATATTAAAATATATATTACAATCCGCCACCATTTCTTTCTAACAAACATGAGTCCAAAAACTTGAATATCTTCTTTGAATTACTTTCATTCTATTATTTAATTTATTTTCATTTTTTATTTTTTGGTATATATTTTTTGTTTTTTTACTATTAATTATTTAATTGAGTTTAATTTTTTAATAGTACATAAATTTTAGTTATTTATAATTGTTTTAAATTAGGTTTAAGTTTAGATTGTAATAAATAATATTTTATTAAAAATTTATTAATTTTATTTAAATTTAGATTGCAAGTAACTAATATTTCATTAAATTTTAATTTAAAACAAAATATCATTCAACAGGTATATAAATATATATTTATAAGTTACCTTATACTTATTGAATTCAGTGTCAAATATAAGTTTTTAAATATTTGGATAAATATTAAGTTTAAAAAATTATATTAAAAAAGTTAACTGATATAAATTAATGTAAAAGTCTTTAAATATTTAAGCACAATGGTTAAAAATTTTATAGTGCTAGGTGAGAGGCAAAAAATTTTAAATTTATTAATGTGAAGGACTAAATGCATGCTTATGAGCACTTAGGTTTTCAACGACCCAATGACATTATGTCATATTAACGTATAAGTGCATTTTCCTCCCTCTCCCTGGGAGCAATGGTTCCAATATAACTTTGTAAATTTATTAAAAAAAAAAAGCATACTTATGAAATATAAAAATAAATATGCAATAAATATGCAATAAATATGAAAGTGAATTACAAAATTGCCTTTAAACTTCTTCCCCAAACCTAACCCCTTTCTTTCCTTCTCTCTTCCCCTCGTTCTTTCTTCTCATCCTTCGCTGGATTCCTGATCCCAGCAAGACTACGGCGAGATTAGGGTTCAAGCTCACCACTTGCATATTGGGGCATGAGCTCATCACTGGCGAGATTTGGGTTTCCTACTTCAATGGACAACCCAAATCTGGGTTCTTGTGGCTGATTTGAGTGCCCAGACATCTCTAGGTTCTCCTCTGCCAAGATTATGCCTTATAACAGAAGATCAACTCTTTGTTTCATCTTCTTTCTTGCGATGGGATCAAGATTGTTAAGTTTTTGTTTGGATTTGTTTGGAAGGAGAAATGGAATCATTTTGGGAGCTGGAAGAAACTGGTGGTAAAGAATTATGAACAAGAACAAAAAACAAATGAGAAGATTGAGAGGAATTTAATGGGGGTTTCGCCATGATCAATTGCTTAGGTAGGGATTTTGTGGATGTGCATTTGGAATTTTCTTCTCATGGGTTCTTAATCCTATAAATTTTGTAGTCTTTTCCTTTTCTTTTCTTTTTTTTTTTCTTTCCGATAATGAATTTCTCATAATCGTCATTGAGTTTTGAATCTTTTTGATGAATTGGAGAACATGATCAGTCCAAATCTATCCTTGGTTTGAATATAGAGTTGATCCTTTGATGTTGTTTGACTTTGCTCGATTTGGAGTTGATTTGGATTCTTGAAGGATTGTGCACTTGAAGGCATCGCAGAAATAGATGATCTTTGCCAGAGAAGAAGACTGGAATAGCGAATTTTTTATGAGTTTGATTCCCTTTAATTAAATCTTTAAACTTGCAATTATCTGTTTAATTAAACGGGTATTTTTGGGGATTTCATTGGGCACGTGGAGCAGGATAAAAAAAAGAGAGAAATTGACATACAAGATTAAAATGGTTAGGAAGGGGAACATGTTAGCATGCAAGTAAAAAATAAATATATATATATATATATATATTTTAAAATATAGATTAAAGTTATATTAGATATATTTTTATAATAAATTTATATTAAAAAATAAAAATTAATATTTAATTTATTAATTATTTAATTAAATTTATTCATTTAACATTAATATTAAATTTAATATTAATTTTTATAATTTTTATATACATTTATAATAAAAAGATATTTTCAATGTATATTTTTCGAATACATATTAAAAAAAAACCTTTCTAAAAATATGCAAAAGAAATAAGTCCACCTTAACATGAATGACATAAGCGGTTAAATAATAACTCTTATATTTGTCAATGATTTAAAAATATCATTTATCTTTGTATTTTTTTGAAGGATGAATTTGTTTTTAACTTTTTATCAATCTTTAGAGAGTAAATTTGAGGGTTATGCCCTATCCAATATTATCATCTCAACTCATTGTGTTCTCATAAGACTACTTATAGTTTCTTACCTTTTTCCCATAATAAATCAGTTTTCCATAGGAAAATTGATTAAACAAAAATTTAGACTAAATTTAGAATTTAGGGTAATATATATAAAAAAATACATATTAATTTTAATTTTTAAAATAAATTAAAATTTTAATCTTAATTTATCTTTTTATTTAATTAAAATTTAATTTAAAATTTTAAAAAAATTGCTTTATTAAATATTAAAGCAAAAAGTTTAAATTTTAAATTAAATTTTTAATTTTTAATTTTTAAATATAAATTAAAATTTTAATTTTTTTTTAAAATTACGATTATACGACTTTCCGGTGTGTATAATTATTAGCAGAGTAGGGGGGGTGTCCGAGGTTTTTCCATATACAAGCGGAGAAGAAAGTGGGAATTCACCAGAAAAAAAAAAAAAAGAAGAAGAAGAAGACAGTGGACACATAAACAAAGTTGCTATAGGGATCGGCGGAGCCCGGCGGGCTAGGTCTAGTGCCGAGTAGGTGAGGCTCCGTGGGGTCTCTGGCCCAAGCTACCTTTTTTTCTTAAATATTATCCTTTGGAAAATGGAAAAAACATCTGTAGACTCTCCAACTTCTTTGGTACACCATAGATGATTTTGAGGCTCTCTTAAATTATTCGAATTTTGACAAGAGAGGATGCTGTTGCGAACAGTATTTTTTTAAAAAATTATTGATGAAGAGGTGGTCTTTAATTATTTTTATTAATTATTATAAGAAGTGTAGTATGTATATGATAGATTTCACTTTATTTGTTAATTTTGATAATATAAAAAAGAAAAATTTTGAGGATGAAAAAAGTCAGCTACTTATGTTTAGAGGGATGAAAAAAATTGCAGTTTTTGAGGGAGAAGAACTTCAAACAAACTATTCCGCCCGTGACGATTGAGGATGCGGAACAAATCAGTTATGAGAAGGCCACCGAAACACTGAGAAGGGCTGTCAATTTTTTCTCTGCATTGCAAGCTAGTGATGGCCATTGGCCCGCAGAAAATGCAGGCCCATTGTCTTTCCTTCCACCCCTGGTGAGCCCATTGTCAGAAAACTACACATTTTCCTATATATAAATCCATCTTCATGTATGCCATGTGCTAATTATAGCTGCTGTAGGTGTTCGCCTTGTACATCACAGGGCACCTCAATACTGTATTCCATGCAGAGCATCGCAAAGAAATCCTTCGATACATATATTATCATCAGGTATATAGACTATAGAAGTATGCATGTTTTTCTTATTAATTTGATGTCTTCTTGAGTTTTGAATTGCTGATGCATTTTTACGCCCTGTAGAATGAAGATGGTGGCTGGGGATTGCACATCGAAGGTCATAGCAGCATGTTTTGTACTGCTCTTAGCTACATTTGCATGCGTATTCTAGGAGAAGGACCCGATGGTGGTCTAGATAATGCTTGTGCAAGAGCACGCAAGTGGATTCTCGACCATGGCAGTGTCACTTACATACCTTCATGGGGAAAGACTTGGCTTTCTGTATGATGACCAATTTTAATTAATGGTTATTATAAATTTGCTATAATTTTGGATTATAAGTGCAAATTTCATGTTTACTATTTGTTTGTTGCAGATACTAGGTATCTTTGACTGGTCTGGATGCAATCCGATGCCCCCAGAGTTTTGGATCCTTCCTTCCTTCCTTCCCATGCACCCAGGTTTGTCCCATCTTACATGCTCTACTTGAATGACTGAAGAGTGAAGACTATCACCTGTAATTGAAAACTTTGCTCCCAAAATTGGCTTTGATTAAGTTACCCTTTTGGTTTTGAATATGGAAACAATTTAATGCTTCAAGGTTTCTGGACATTAAGATTGTTGAAGTTTTTTTCTTTCCACTTGTAATATGCAGCTAAAATGTGGTGCTATAGTCGTACAGCATACATGCCTATGTCATATCTATATGGGAAAAGATTTGTGGGACCAATCACACCACTAATTCAACAATTGAGAGAAGAACTTTATCTTCAACCTTACAATGAAATTAATTGGGGAAAAGCACGCCATTCATGTGCTCCTGTAAGTTATTGTTCCAAGTTAGAGAGATACCATAGTTCATTTCTTATGTTCAATGTTACTAATAGAGAATACGGTTGTTCAAAATTGGTATTGTAGGAGGATCTTTACTACCCACATCCATTGATACAAGATTTGATGTGGGATGGTCTGTACATTTTGGCCGAGTCATTTCTTACTCGCTGGCCCCTTAATAAGTTGATTAGAGAAAAGGCTCTGCAAGTAGCTATGAAACACATTCATTATGAAGATGAGAGCAGTAGATACATCACCATGGGTTGCGTGGAGAAGGTAATGCATTATTTAGAAAAACTAATTTATGGGAAAGATGAATATTAATGTTATTTGATGAATATCACTCTGATTTCGCTAGTATTGACCAGGCGCTATGCATGCTTGCTTGTTGGGTGGAAGATCCAAATGGTGATTACTTTAAAAGGCATCTTGCTAGGATTCCGGATTACATATGGGTTGCTGAAGATGGAATGACAGTGCAGAGTTTTGGAAGTCAAGAGTGGGATGCTGGTTTTGCTATTCAAGCTTTACTTGCCAGCAGTCTCGTAGATGAAATTGGACCTGTACTTAAAATAGCACATGATTTCATAAAGAAATCTCAGGTTTGACACTTAATTTGTTGCCTACTATCATAAACAATTCTTAATTTCCATCTTGATGAGAAAGAGAGAAAATGATCATAATTGCTATTTCTCACCTAAAATTTTGAAGGTCAAGGATAACCCTTCGGGTGATTTTAAGAAAATGTATCGTCATATTTCCAAGGGATCTTGGACTTTCTCTGATCAAGATCATGGATGGCAAGTTTCTGACTGCACTGCAGAAGGCTTGAAGGTAAACTTGAGTTTTCTATTGTTGGGCAATTGATTTAAAGAAATTAAGGAATGCACCATTAGTTCTTTCATTTTATTTTTAATGGCTTTTACTTTATTTTACAGTGTTGCCTACTAATGTCAACACTGCCACAAGAAATTGTTGGTGAGAAACTAGAACCAGAGAGGTTGTATGATGCCGTTAATGTTGTGCTTTCTCTTCAGGTGAATATTTGTTGTGATCCTAGTATTGATAGTTTGCTCGTTTAAATGTTAAGTTCTTGCACCGTCTAAATAAGCTTTTTCATTTGACTAATTACAGAGCAAAAATGGAGGTCTATCTGCTTGGGAACCAGCTGGAGCTTCAAGATGGTTGGAAGTAAGCGCTAAAAAATATGGGAAAATGCCTCTCCCTTCTTCTCCGTGAAAATTTCAAAGGTTATTAAACTCTTCTAGATTTAGATGATGCTAGTTAATGTTTCTTTCTCTGTCTTTCATTCTCAGATGCTTAATCCCACGGAAATTTTCGAGGACATTGTCATTGAGCACGAATATGTTGAGTGCACGTCATCAGCAATCCAAGCTTTAATTTTGTTTAAGAAGCTTTATCCAGAGCATAGGAAGGAGGAGATTGAAAAGTTTATTGCAAATGCTGTACACTACCTTGAAAATGTACAAATGCCCGATGGGTCATGGTACAAACCTCTCCTGTGTTTTTCTAGTATGTTCTGAAGCATATGATATTTAACAAAGTATTAGAGAAATCAATTACATGAGGAACTTCAATAGGTACGGATGCTGGGGAATCTGCTTCACATATGGTTCATGGTTTGCACTTGGAGGACTAGCTGCTGCTGGTAAAACTTACAACAATTGTCTAGCGATGCGCAAAGGTGTTGAATTTCTCCTCAAAACACAAAGGGAGAATGGTGGTTGGGGAGAGAGCTATAAATCATGCCCTGAAAAGGTAAATCCTAGCTTTTAAATCTAACTTGTTTAAAATTTTACGTGATGAAACCAACGTCAATCTGAAGCAACAGATAAAGAAATAAAATAATTGTCATGTTTTGTGTCATATATATATATATTTTTGATAAATGATTTGTTTCATATTTCATACATTGATTGACTTGGTCTCCCTCTTAGCCTAGACTGAATTAGTAAATGCTTACGTTGTTTGTTATATGCGTAGAAATATGTACCTCTGGAAGAAGGCAGATCAAACTTGGTCCATACTGCATGGGCTATGATGGGTTTGATTCATGCCAGACAGGTAAATTTATGGTTAAAAGTTCATTATCATGTCATCTATTATTCATGAGATGGTTTTTGACATTAAAATTTTGGTCATAATATACAGGAAGAAAGAGATCCAACACCTCTCCACAGAGCAGCCAAGCTAATCATCAATTCTCAAATGGAGGATGGTGATTTTCCCCAACAGGTATTTAATATCTTTTATTTAACTTTAAAGAAAAGATTGTCCTTGGATCTCTTAAAACACTTCCTTTATATGTAGTATGACAGGATTCA